AAGAGAAGGGCTTCTACAAGTGCAGCAGCATTAAAAGGGAGACTGGGGAGAATGTTGGATAGCTGCAGAATCAGAAGGATGTTCTGGTAAGGGTCTTCTGGAAGACACAGAGAAGGCAGAATTACTGGAAACCTTCTTTTCCTCAAACTTTACTGCTGAGAATGGCCCTCAGGAGTCCCAGAATTGGAAGGTGAGGGAAGGCTGGAGAAAGTAAGGTTTCCCCTTGGTCTTAGAGGGTGTTGAGATTCAGTTATTAAAATTATTAGCGATACCTCTACCCAAATTAAGGTGCAAATGAGACTGTGAGGTGCGGGTCCATAGTGATGCAGGGTCCTGAGGATGGTGCAAATGAGAACCCCTTATTCCAAAAACCGGCCCTTTAAAAGCAATTTGCTGGTAATCAGCTACATAGTTTTTAATCATAACAAACATAATTCAACTAACCACCATACACCACGATGTGAGCATGCAATGGTTTCATAACCACTTGTGTTTCTACCTCTAATTCAGCTGTGTCACTTTCCCACAGTCCTTTTCTGCTTAGCCAAAGTAACAGGCTTGAGCCATGATTTTACAAGGCCTTCCCTTCGTAAGGTTTTACCTATATGCAACATGAAACCATATGCTAAAGTCAGTAGTAAGGGATTTATTTGATAGTAAATATGAGAGAGAGAGAGAGAGAAAGAAATAGAAAAGAGGTGGGGGTTGGGGTAAGAAAGAGAGTGACAGAGACAGAATAAAGAAAATATCACTATCTGTGGATCACAATGATGTTCCATTGATCCTCTTCAGCTGGTCTTCTTGGTGATGATGGTGCCCCTAAAAAGCATAGAATCCGAAGGGTTAATATACCCTCAGGCTAGATAGGAAAACCCAGCTATCTCCCTGGGGGACAGGAGTGGGGGTTTGCCATTGTCTCTTACAACAGTCTCTGGATTTGTTGCATCACCCTGGGGAGCACTTTGGGGTGTCTTTGATGGATTAAGCCCCCCCCGTCAGCTGCCTCTCACTTGAAAGTCCTTTGGATGTGGCCTGTGGTGTTGGGGGTTCCACAGCTTGTGTAAAGGAGAACGTTTGCTGCCTCTGACCAGAGGTTACCCCCCCAAACCTTCCCCTGAGTTTCAAGGGGGAGTCTGTGTAAACCTGGCTTCTGTGGGCTGTAATTTCCCCTACCCCAAACCCATCCAGGGAAGAGTCTCAACACAGCTGCAGGGTTTGACTCCTTCTTTTCCTTGTTTACTTGTTTATTTCTCCTGGGGTTTCAGATGAGTGACAAATGGGTCTCCCTTTATCTAATCTCAGCAGTTTGATTTTTAGTTCAAAGTTCCAGTCAGGCAATTTTTATGGAGGTGTGGGCTTCAATGGGTTCTTTATATAGTTTTGCTATAATGAGGAAGATTTTATATCAATGTTTGAGGCATGAACTATTTCAGTCTCTGACGTCCATCCCGTGACTCAAACAGTATAATAAATGATTCTTTGCCTGCTATCTTCTTCAGTTTATGGGGTGTCTATGAAGTTGATTAATAGAGATAATAGGACAAAAGATAGAAATAGCTGAAGCAATAACATGAGTAATCATACAGCATCCAACAGTTCAAAATGTAAATTCAGTTGTAGTCATCTAGTTATCAACCCATTTCTCATTAGTCAGTGCCCTTACTCATGATTCCTAGGAATCAGTGGATTTTTTTATGGGTAGTGAGTGTGTGGGATATCACAATATTGTATCTCTTAGGTGTTGACTCAACATGTTTTGAAATAGTTACAGAATTTTACAACAGTCCTTAATTTTTATATTCCATAGAGGGGTATTCTCAATAGATACACGTATTGATCAGCCAAGTTTCAAGAAGAGTCCCAGCTCTTGTAGTATAGTTGATTAATTTTACCCTGGAATAAATATGAATGGATTTGTTAAGGATGTGTGTTTTCTTCCTGACTGCATTCACATATAGTTGGAAGAGTTTTATAGGTAATATTCTTACTCAGCTGGATAATTCTATACATTATTATAAAATTAGCTTTTATGATACAAAATTAACATGCAAAACATTTTCATACAAAAGGTTCTCATGCAAACATATTTTTACATAAAGGCTATGCTCTGTTTTCCAGGAGACAGATTATAGCACTGTTGTAATTTAATCTTGACACAAAATAGAAACTGTGGCTTTATAATCAGTGTCATTAAAAATGAAACTAATTCCCTTTCAAACTTACTTGTATTATCCTAAGTAGATTTTTTCCTTTGAATTTTGGTGAGCAAATTACCCTCATCACATTCTGCACCCACAACTGGAAAGCATGTGCATGGCAGAATGTGTTATAGTCACCACATGAATTACCATAAATAGAAGAAATGAGGCAAAGTTAAAATACCCTCTTAGGACATATGAAAGGAAATTCAAGAGCACATTGCCTTGAGGGCTGGTAGGAGGCTTTTCTGTACTTTATTCATGTTCTAGTTGCAGTCCATGGCTCTCCCTCCTGGTTTAGGAAGGGGGATTCAATAATTTCTCATGTAACATTTGCTTGTGTTTTGTTAAGATTATTCAGTTCGCTAATTAGTAACTCAGAAAAGCTTAGCCAAATCCAAAAAATTCTAAAGGCAGAACTGGGAAGGTTAGTTTTCACAATGCTTCCAACAAATAGATGGCACTTTAAACACTTGTTGATATTTATTGATATTAAGAGCAAACCAAATTGAATTGTTGCTTTAAAGACAGAGTATTTTAAATTGTATTCCTAAGATCATACAAATTTACTGGACTATTTAATGATGATCAGAGGGCTGGAGCACATCTCCTATGAAGATAGACTCAGAGAGCTGGGTTTATTCAGCCTGTAGAAAGAAGGTCCTAGGAAGATCATATAGCAGCCTGCCAGTATCTATAGGCCCCTATAAGAAAGATGAAGAGCGACTTTTTAGAAGGTCATGTGGTGATAGGACAATGGGAATGGCTTTAAACTAAAAGAGAATAGGTGTACATGAGGTATTAGGAAGAAATTCTTTACAGCTTGCCCAGAGAATTTGTGGATACTACATCCCTGGAAGTAATAAAGGTCAGGCTGTATGGGGTTTTGAGCAACCTGGTCTAGTGTAATATGCACTGCCTGTGGCGGGGGAGCTGAATGTAGAGGATCTTTAAGGTCCCTTACAATGCAAACCATTCTATGGAACTATGGTTTGTTAAAACATAACTTCAGTTTATCATCTGCTAACTGTAAGATGGTAGATAATACTCTTGTCCTTGCTGGCTTCAAGAAATTTACAACTTCAAGGAAGTAGTTTTGAACTTAAATCAGGTCACTGATTAATCACATTTGCATTTTCCCCATGATTTAGCATGTGTATTTCAATAAGAAACCACACAGAATCCAACATAAATGACTTCCACAGACTCAGCCTATTTTTCCACCCGACCGGGATGATATAAGGTAAGAGTTACATAGATCACAGGATAGCTGTAGAGATGCCAAAGATGTGTTCTATGTTGTGCTTGGAAGGTCCTTAGTTTTCTATTATTTGCTATTTAAATGCTAAGTTAGGAAAAATGCTTAAAAGTACCTTTGTGATAAAAGTATTTAGTTGGGATTTGCAGCTCTAGTTTAGCAGTTACATTAAAATAAGAAATCATAGAATCATATAAATCATAGACAGTTTGGAAAGAATGTAAAGGAAACAATTATTGTGTCAGTTTTGAATTTACGTTATTAGTAAAATAGAATTTACTCCTAGAAAGCCAGATTCTGGTCTCCTTATTTTTGCTAGGTGTCCTTTTAACTTTTTCTGTCATAACTAATGGAACCAAGAAGTAGATTTTTCAAAGTATGAATCTGAGCAGTTATTCCTAATTTCACCTTTCAAAGCAAACCTCCAAGAAAGAATAACTCTGAGTGATGAGTAGGGCTGTGAAACAGCCTCATCTCTGCTTCACTACTGTCAGTCAGTGACTGAGAAAGGCTCTTTGGGACCTGCTGTGCTATCCCTGGGATGGAAAACTCTCCCCACTGCCAAGAATCCCCCACAAAACCTTTCTAGAGGAGTCATCTTCTTGGCACGGAAGGGAAGTAGAAAACTGCATCTGCAACCCAGCCCTTCTTAGGAAAGATACTCCCAAGCCAGGCTGTGATGTCCCACCCTTAAGGGGAAGGGAACACCCAAGATGTGTAATTGCTCAGGTCTGCAAAAAATCACCAAGTTTTAATAGTAAATTACACACTTGGCATGGAAATTGGAATGTTAGTCCCTGACCTGCTACATCAGCACATGGCAGTGGGATGTGGATAAAGAGGTGGGGTGGAAGGAAAAGAGAAAGGAAGAGATGAATTAAAGAAGGGGAGAGAGAAAGAGGGCAAGAAAGAGAGAACAAGAGAGAATGAAAGAGAGAAAAAGAGAGAATGAAAGAGAAAAAAATAGAGAAAAATACAGAAAAAGAGAGAAAAATAGAGGAAAAGAGATCACCAGTCCTTCTTCCAGTGTTGGTCTGGTCAATGAGATGTCCAGGATCATGGAGGACCCCCCAGATTTGTTAGGGGTACTGTTTATAGATAAGTTTTTCTGACCTGAAGACAGGTTGCTTTCTATCTATGAAAATTAGTTACCATATCCAATCCCTCCTTTCAGACCTTTAGAGAAGTCTTGGTTCTTGGGTGGTCTTGTTCCTTCCCAGATTGACCTTGGGTCGATATTTCATATCACCTTTTGTTAGCAGAGATTAAACAGTAAAAAGGAAGTGTGTGTGCATGACAGAGTTTGGGGAATTAAGTGGGGAATTCCCTCTGAAAGTAGAGACAAGAGGAAGAATATAGTACAGAGCTCTGTCCACTTGTGGGCAGTGTCATTTGTCATCACAACCAACAGTAGATCATTCCAGATTAACTAAGTTTTGAACAAGTTTGTGTGTTTGTGGGAAGTTCACATTTTAACCTCATATTTATTCAATGGTAAATACATAACTCTTGGTCTGGACTGACAGTGCTTCTGTCTTGTGCAGCCCAGGAGATGGAGATGGAGACTGCAGATGAAGTTGCTATTGTTGGAATAGGATGCAACTTTCCTGGAGGTAACTTTGGGGTAAAAGCAAAGCAGGCTGTGAGGGAACATTGAGAAGCAGAGTCTTTTATTAATGCTGAAATGAAGGAAAGCAACAGTTGTTGGTTTGTCCCTTGGTTGAATTTGTTTCTTTCCTGCTTGTGGGATCTTTTTGAGAGGTGGTGCTGTTGTGGAAACTACTTGGCCTGAATTTGTTTGCAGACAGACAGAGAAAAGAATCTGCAGTGCTGGTTCTGGGAAGGGCATTGAGCTGCACATGAAACTCATACAAATGAGCTGGATGGGTGTGGGATGATTTGACCTTTCTGCGTGTTCACTGGCTGGGTGATTGTGCATTGTTACAGGACTCTGCATCCATAGGGACAGGGCAGATGAAGGGCTGGACATTCTTATCAGCAATGCCTGTAAAATAAACAGGTTGAGTTTTCCTAAATTAAAGCTTCTTGCTTTATTACAGTAGGTGGAGTAGATGTAGTGAGATGACAGGGAAATGGGAGAGAAGGTGGTTAAGGGTTTTGTGGGGATCCTTTGCTTTTAGACAAGCAGTGAGGGGATCAGTCATGCTTTTTCATTTTCCTCTCACCAAAGAATGATCAATTATTTTTGTGGCAAGTCTGCTTGAACTGCCTAGATTTACAGGTGGGAGGTCCTTGTTGCTGATTGTGCATTTCTGAGTCTGTGTGGGTAGGGGGAGCATATAATTTAATCTGTTTTAAAAACTTTGTACAACAGGAGATGGAATTGACAATTTCTGGAAAGTCCTGGAGGAAGGCAAAAACTGCACGGTAGAAATCCCCCCCGAGAGATTTAATGCCAAGGAGTGGTATGATGCAGATGGCAACAAGCCAGGAAAAATATGTACAACACGAGCTGCTCTTCTTGATGAGTGAGTCTGTTCCCCTGCTGCACCACTGACTTTTGTAGTACTTAGACTATGGGTACAGCTGCTCAGGGGCTGTGATAGGGTGAAGAATAGCAAATTACAGTAAGGTCAAAATAAGTGTCTTTTATTTGAATTCCACATTCACCTAAAATCCTCAGGCTGTAGAACTTCATTCAAAGGAGAAGTTGACATGCACAGAAGAAATCTTAATGCCTCCTGAAATTTATACTTGGCAGGGTTGAAACATAGGACCCAGAATTACTTTAGTGCTTAGTCCCATGTTAGATATTGAATCCTGCTCTGAAATCAAGAAATGATGGAAGGCCATATAAATCTGATCTTGGGATACAAAATTAAAGTTGGACTTGGTCTTTTGTAAGCATGGGCCTGTTTTGAAGATGCTTCAAAATATAAATACACACAAAGTATTCATGAATGTGTTGTTAGAAAAGCATGGGTATCTATTGAAAACACCTGAGCCGATCCTCTACTTTTTGGTTTTAAATTTAGAGCATTGGTCTGTATTTGCTTAAAACAATCTGTAATTTTTGTAGAAAACAAGGTTTGCTGGGGGATTCTTTGCAGTGAGGAGAGATTCTCATTTTGTTTATAACTTGTTGAAGCTATGACCACATTACCAGGGAGGGAGTCTCATTCTGCACATTTCACAGTTTGAGGAATCCAGTTGGTAGTAGTGCAATAAGCGTGAGAATAAAAATGGGTAGGAGTGGGCTCTTAACTCTGAAATGCAGAATTATTGATAAAATGGCATTTTTTGTGGTGGGACATAAAACATCTTTGGCTTATAAACATTTTCTTCCGAATTTCATAAATGGGAACTGTGGCCTAAACACCAGTTACTGCTTGTAATTTCATGAAGTTGCAAAAAATGTTTACTGTGAGTCTAGAAGAAACGGATCTTATATACATATGTCATCATTCATTCCGGACTGTGTATTTCAGATTTAATTCATTTGACAACCACCTGTTTGGGATTAACAATATGGAAGCAGAACGCATGGATCCGCAACAGAAATTACTGATAGAGTGCACATACAAAGCCCTGGAGGATGCAGGAGTTCCTGTGGAATCTATCAGTGGCTCCAAAACAGGTGTTTTTATTGGTAAGATGAAAATTTCATGGCAAAGAAAATATGTTTGAACCTCACAAAGAGGAGCAATTCTTCATAACCTTTTAATATGTTATCTAGCACTGGATCTAGGCTGGATCTAGACTGGAGATTTAAGGCTAAAGTGCTATGGCACTTGTGGTTAGTTTTGGTAAGAATTACCAGGCTACTCTAGAAGTTCATGCTACAATTCCTGTATCTCTTTTTGGTGCTCTTCTTCCTTAGTTCATGCACTGAAGGGAAGCTTGAAACTGCATCTACAACCCAGCCCTTCTTAGGAAAGATACTCCCAAGCCAGGCTGTGATGTCCCACCCTTAAGGGGAAGGGAACACCCAAGATGTGTAATTGCTCAGGTCTGCAAAAAATCACCAAGTTTTAATAGTAAATTACACACTTGGCATGGAAATTGGAATGTTAGTCCCTGACCTGCTACATCAGCACATGGCAGTGGGATGTGGATAAAGAGGTGGGGTGGAAGGAAAAGAGAAAGGAAGAGATGAATTAAAGAAGGGGAGAGAGAAAGAGGGCAAGAAAGAGAGAACAAGAGAGAATGAAAGAGAAAAAAAAGAGAGAAAAAGAGAGAATGAAAGAGAGAAAAAGAGAGGAAAAGAGATCACCAGTCCTTCTTCCAGTGTTGGTCTGGCCAATGAGATGTCCAGAGTCTTGGAGGACCCCCCAGGTTTGTTGGGGGTACATTTTTATAGATATATTTTCCTGCCCTGAAGACAGGTTGCTCTCTTTCTATGCAAATTATCATGTCCAGTTCCTTCTTTCAGACCTTTTTGGAAATGCATCAGAGGTTTTGGGGTTCTTGGGTGGTCTTAATGCCCTCCCTCCCCAGATTGACCTTGGGTCGATATTTCATTCCTGTTTCTGTGCTGGTGCTGGCCATTGTTTGTTGATGGGGGTAGAGTGGTAGGAAAGTGCCCAGCAGAAAAGGACCTGGTGGTGCTGGTGGTCAGTAGCACAACATGTGCCAGTGTGTGCCCGGGTGGCCAAGAAGGCCAGTGGCATCCTGGCATGTATCAGCAATAGTGTCACCACAGAAGCAGGGCAGTGATTCTTCCAACTGTATATGGCACTGGTGAGGCCACAGCTGGAGTTCTGTGTCCACTGTTGGGCCCCTCAATTCGGGAGGGACATTGAGGTGCTGGACTAAGTCCAGAGAAAAGCATCAGAAGGGTCTGGAACACAAGTCCTGTGAGGAACACCTAAGGGAGCTGGTATAGTCTGAGAAGAGGAAGCTCAGGGGTGATTTTATTGCCCTCTACAACTGCCTGAAAGGAGGGTGTAGTGATGTGGGGATGGGAAGGGCATAGCATGAAAAGACATAAAAAAATAAGAAGTGGAAACCTTTCCAAAAAGACTATAAACTTGCTGACAAGCAGAATATGAAATGTGGATTAAATTGGCCAGACTGCTTGTTCTTTAGTGACCTCTGAAAAAATTAAATGCCAGCAAAGTCAGGAATTAAATAGGTCTTTGCCCTTGTCTGCTGTCCAAATGGACACTCTTATTGATTCTGCTTAGATCTTTTTGTTTAATGTTCCAATTATCTCTCTTTACAGTTGCATGAGAAAGATATTTCTCATTCTATTTCTACAGTTCTAAATTCATCCACCCTAGGGAATGATTCCTGCCTCCAAAGTGATGCAGATTGCATCCACATACCCTGTTTAAGGCTAGATCTCCACAGAACAGATATGCCACGGCCAAACCATGCAGCACCTCTGCTAGCAGCCCTTTTAGGCTGCTACAGGGCACTAGAACAGTTTGATAGATGGTGGTGTTTTTTTTGGTTGGTTTTTTTATTGTTTGTTTTATGTTTGTTTTTATTGCTGTTGTTTGTTTTTGTTTGTTTCTGTTTTGTTTTGTCAGGGAAGAGAGAGGTGGGGACATTGATTTTAGTTTATATTATGTGATATGATGTGGCAGCTCTGCTGGCACTTGAGACAGGTATGAATTATAAGATGAACATGAAAGTAGATATTTCATGCTCAGGAGTATTTCATTCGAATATCTGGAGACATCTGAGAGTGAAACACATGCAGGACAGCTTTTCCAAAGAGGGCAATAGGAGCAAATGCACCCTGTTTAAGGTTGTGTATGTTGCCTTTTATATATAAACTCCCGAAAAGATAAGTTACAAGAGCACATGAAAATAGCTTCCTTTTTCTAGCTTACACCTGGAACTTAACAGATATAGCAATCAATCAATTACTTAATTGGTTATAATTTATGATTTCTGGCAGCCAAGGCCCTGTGTTGGGCCAGAGAAGAGGGCGTTAGATTATTGTTTTTAGTAATTTCTATCATAGTATTGTCAAAAGCTTCTGACTTCCATTTGTTCCACATAACTAAACTGATCTTTAGCTGATTTTTGCATTTATTTTGTCAGCACATTTAGGTTTCAAAAAGAAATTTCTTCCTTTAATTCAGTAGTTTATTTTGTTGAGATGTATTTTATCTGTTCCAATTTTAGGCCACTAAAAGTTTAGTGCATATCCTTAAGCAAGTTACATTAGGCTCACATTGTAGACAGAAATGAATGTGTTCAAAGGGCAGATCATTTGACCTTGTTAGTTACTCACATGAAGAAGTCTGCCTAGATGTGCAGTTTTACTGATATTGATTACCCTGCTCAGGATTAGATATTTTAGATCCCTAAAGACAGTATGGCAAGACATTAGACTTTTATCTATTTGTTTATTCATTTTTTTGTTTGATGAGTTACATTTTAAAACCAGTTTGTTTACATTCTGCAGAAGAGATATATGAATAATCTAACATTTTAAAAGAGAACATAGAAACTCATAATTTATAAAAGGATTATGTTATATATATATAGATATATGTTTTTGGGTGTTTGTTTGTTTTGTTTTTTTTCTCTTTTTAGGTGGTTTTCGTGGCCTCCTTCTCCTTGGAGACATTCTTTTTACCTCTCCTTTTTTCCTTAAACTGTTTTAGCTAGATTCAGATACAATCAAGTTGGCTTTCTCCACCATAATGCTTTGGAGGCAATTTCCTCTTCATTTTAAATTTGTCACCAGGGAAACCTTTTTATTTCTTGCAGCCAAACAGATGGTTTATATTTTCATTTTTTATTTTTTCAATGTTTCCACTAAAAAGGTCAAGATCATCTTTGGAAAAGTGAAGTTCTGAATTTTCTTCCACTATCTAAAAATAAAAGCATATAAATTTTTAAAGTCCTACAGGTTGTTTCTTTTTCTTCTCAAATGTAACTACTCATAGATGACTTTGGCCCTTATCATTGTAATACCCCATGACTATGTTTCTGCTTGACTCCAGGAGACTGTGAGGCAGCAATTTGTGGTGGGGTGAACTGCATCATCGATCCCCGCACCTTTGTATCTCTCAGTAAAGCCAAAATGATCTCTCCAGAGGGCATAAGCAAACCCTTCTCCAAAAAAGCAGATGGCTATGGAAGGGGAGAAGGCTGCGGTGTTGTTTTCCTCAAACCGCTGAAAAAGGTAAGACTGCTTGTGAAGCAGGCTGAAATAAGACTGGTTGCTTGCCTGAATTTTGTGCCTTCAGGTCTAATAATGACTGTTCCAGAGAAGTTTTTCCAATTTAAGTTTAAGATTAATGAAGCATTTCTTTAGAATTTATCAACTTTCTGTAACATAGGGAAAGGATCTCACATGTAAAAGTTAGTACCATAATCTGGTTTTTCTTGGCTTTCTTGTGGTGTTTATTTGTTTTCTTTACAGAGAAAGCATGAGTTTATTAAAGACAATTTAACTTTTCATGGAACAGGCAAAGGAAGACTACAGCAAAATCTGGGGTGTGATAAACATCAGTGCAGTCAATCAGAACGGCAGATCCACGACTCCAATCACGAGACCGTCTCAAATAGAGCAAGAGAAGTTACTGCGCAGCATTTATGAAAGTCGTGTTGATCCCTCAGTTGTGCAGTACATTGAAGCCCATGGCACAGGAACTGCTGCTGGAGATCCTACAGAAGCTGAGAGCCTGGGTAGTGTCATTAGCAAAAACAGGTCTTCCAGAGTTTCCATTCTGAAAATCGGTTCAGTGAAAGGAAATATTGGACACACTGAATCAGCTGCTGGAGCAGCTGGGTTAATCAAAGTGCTCCTGATGATGCATCATGGAAAGATTGTTCCATCCTTGCATTACTCAAAGGAGACGAGCAGTATCGATACAGAGAAATTAAACCTTGCTGTTGCCACAGCTGTAGAGCCCTGGGAAGAATCCAGTGAGTATGGAAGAGTAGCTGGCATCAACTGCTTTGGATTTGGAGGAACCAATGCTCATGTTGTAGTCAGGCAGGTGAAGCAGCCAGAGGCTCTTCCTGCCTTTAAGAAGCCCCTGGAATTAGTTCTGCTGTCAGCAGCATCCCCTAAGTCCCTTCAGATGACAATGGCGGACACAGCTGAGCAGCTGAGCACAAGGAACTCCGTAACTCTCCCAAGCCTGGCCTACACCTCTGCCTGCAGAAGAAGCCATGCCAGCTACAGGTACCGAAAAGCATTTGTCACAAATTCCCTCCAACACTTGCAGCAAGAGCTGAAGCTGGCAGCGAGCACGGAACCTGCCATGTCCAAAGCGGAACCACAGCTGGTGTTTGTGTTCTGTGGCAATGGTGTAACGCTGAAGGAGTTCAGTGAGGCACTGCTGAGCTCAGAGCCAGTGTTCAGAGACAAGTGTAAGGAAATAGAAGACCTTTTCCAGCAGCACGCTGCCATCAGCCTCCTGCCAGCAAGAAATCATAGCCCAAAGGACTTGCTGAACCCAGAGTTTTCTCAGCCCTTGCTGTTTGCTCTGCAGGTTGCTGTAGCTTCCCTCCTGAAGCACTGGGGTATTAAGCCTGTTGCTGTTGTTGGCCACTCGGTGGGGGAAGTTGCTGCTGCACACATTGCTGGGTACCTTTCCCTGGCAGATGCAGTCAAAGTGATTTATCACCGGAGCAGGCTGCAGGCAAAGACTCCCAGGGGCAGAATGCTGGTGGTTGGAAACATCCCTGTTGAAGAGATTGCAGAGCGCCTGCATCCCTACTCAGGAAAGGTGTGCATTGCTGCCTTCAACAGCCCCATTTCCTGCACCTTGTCTGGGAGTGTAGAGGCTGTGGAAGCTGTCCAGAGTGAGTTAGCTGAAGCTTTCAGACAGAGAAACATCTTTCTTCATGTTTTAAAAGTTCCAGCTGCTTACCACAGCCCCAGCATGGACGGTTCTTCTGCCTTTATTCTGCTAGCTGTGTTAATTTCAGTCAGTTGTTTGGCATGTTACTGTTTGCACGTCTACATTATGAAAATACATGTAAAGCAGCATAAGATTATTTTGTCATTATTGTAATCTTTATGTATTTTTATTTTTTTAATATTACCAAATGAAATCAATTAAGTAATTTGATTACACAATGTTTATAAATACCAGCGTATTTTTGAAAGTCCTTTAGATGTTTTGATTTTCAAGATTTCTTCTCAAAAAGGAAATTTGATTCTTTTCCTTATGTTTTCAAAAATAATAAAACTGTACCAGGTGCAAAGCATACAGTAAATCAACTGGATTTTAAAATGAATTAACCATTTTATGATAACTGAAATAAACAGGAATAGTAGAAGAATTTGAAATGCAAAAGCTAAAGTGTAATTTCTTTTCTATTTTATTGTTTTTGTCATTCATTCACTCCCCTGATTTAAATTTTCCTAATCCAAACATGATGTCTTATTTTCTTCCCATGAAGACTCACACTTTTGAATGGAGAGCCCACAGATGGAAAAATTTAATTATATTTATGCAATAGGGATCTAATTCTAGAAGTTCCACTATACTTTAAAAGGTATTATCATTAAAAACCAAAGCATTATATTCAGTTTTAAATCTTACTATAGTAAATAATTTTCCTACTTGTAAGAAAGCATCTTCTATTTTGAATGTAACAGCAAATGCTCTGTATTGAAGTCAAATAAAGAATATAGTTTGCTATATTGCACACTAGCATTACCTGTGAATTTATATACCACCTGAAATTCATGAAGAGATGACAGTCTCTTCATGAATTTCAGGTGGTATATAAATTCTATATCTAAATATAGAATTTTTACCTATAAATTCAATCTATTCTATCTACAGCTTTGAACAGGCATCCTCTTCTGATAGTCTCCCTAGGTCAGACCAAATCATTCTAGCTAAATCTACAGTGAGGACAGTACTTTGTATTACACAGAAGAAGTTATAAGTGCCTTTGATTAAGCAGGAATCAGCATTTTAAATTCATCTTTTCCTACAGTACGTGTTAGTAACATTAAATCCGATGGTGTAATATAAATTTAGTGTTAAACCTTCTCCACAAATGGTATCTAAGAGAAGTACTCACCAAATTGTAGTCAAATAACATTGTCCTAGAGACTTCCTGGAATTCCAGAGAAATGAAACAGAGCAAGAATGGTACACTAGTTTAATTGTAAAGTATTTGTTCTATACAGGGGAAATGCTTATGCTTGTTTTGGGTATGTTTACTAATCACAGAATGGATTTACTGAAAAAATCTGTATATCTTTTTACATCTCCTTTGTCCAAAGTGGAGGGAAACTTTTAAGGACTTTTCAGGAAATGTATAGAAGAATAAGTTGAGTTGGAGGAGGCCTTTAGATAGACCTAAAACTCACACCTGCTCTCCTGAGAAGCTATATCCTGTTCACAGTGGCTGTGGACAGTATCTATCAAGACAGACTCAACCAATTCTGAGCTAAGAAGACTGCTTGAAAACAACTGGAATAAGAATATAAATATACCTTATTCAGGAGAAATGGGAGTCACTCCAGGATTACTAGGCCTGGTGCTGCCAGTGATGTGGATGGACAATGTAGTCAGGATTCAAGCCTGGAACAAGACTTGATCCTAGATTTTAGTGAAAACATTCCCTGGTCATATGGTATTCAGATGAAGGATAGCAGATATTTGCTGCCATTCAGGTTTCCCACTCTAAAAATGCAATAAATTGTTTGCATGGCTCTTCATCTGTGTGTTCCGAGCATAAAAGGGATTTAATCTGTTCAGAACTGGTTATCAAATAAACCAGTTAATAGAGAAATTGTAGAGAAACAACTCAAATCCATAGATAAGAATAGATGACACACCTCACAGAGCAGACAGGCTGCTCTTTTTACATCTGCAGTGTTAATTTTGATGATTTTGACAACAGCATGTGACTCTGGAAGATAGACCTGACCTGTTCTTGTATCACTTTCATGGACAGTTTTTTTGCAAAGGCTGGCACCCTCAATGCAAAGTTTATCACTCACCAAAAAGAGAAAAAAGAAATCTTATCCTAGAAAAAGCATGAAGTGGATTTGAAGAGCAGTTCTCTAGAAAGTCTGAGGCCAGTAATCTCCCAATCACATCATTTGCAGTGTGTATCAATTGTGTATTTCCTAGAATGTACTCCCCCAATTTGTTAGGACAGACTGAAGTCTGGCAGACAAAATATGGAAGAGACCATGGATTTCATAATGCAGAACACTGTTTCTGGTAATCCCGTACAAGTTTTAGGAAAGTAAAGCCAGTATGTTTTAGAGACTTTGAAGGAGATGCATAATCTGGAATAGAGCCATGCTTTCCTCTTAAATCAAGGACTCTTATCAATTCCCTGGGAGCCAAACTTCCGGTTTAGGACAAAGTGCAGTGGAAGACAGATGCTGATCTCAATATAAGTAAATCAACCATATAAATATGTCTAAGTTATACTTCTTATGCATGACTGACACTCCAAGCCCTGCAGCTGCAATGTGAGAGTTTCATGTATGGAGTGAAAGCTAGTGGCTTCAGGGGTTGCAGTTGTAAGAGAACTGTGCCTTTCTCAGGGTAGTATGTGTCTCAGAAAATCAAGTATCTTGGAGTCACATGAGGCCAAAAGAGTCAATTTTCTCCTTTAGAGAAGGATTTGGAGCTGGCCAACATAGAGAGAGTCTAATGTGAAAAGAGTGAAGGAATGAGGGATTGCCACTACTGAAACAGATATCTCAAAATGGCAATAGAAAACACAGCTGAGCAACTGAATGCAAGAAATCAATTGCTCTCTCCAGACTTGCCAAGTTACCTGCCCATGGAAATGTCAAGTTTTTTGCTGCTTTTGGTTTTAGTACTCAGTAGAAGAAATCTCTGTCTTCATCTTTTAAATGTCTGAGGTGTGTTCCATAGCTCAACTCCACTACTAGAAACTATGGGAAAACGCTTTGAATTTAAACTAATAGAAGTGGATTCCTTACTGGCTGGGGTTACTGCCTCTGCAGAGGAGGTCACTGAGCAATGCATAAAAAAAATAAAAAAATGAGGTTGTGTTGGTTTTAGGCAAGCAATAACACAGAAATTGGAGGGAAAAAAAGTGAGTAAACACATCTTCAAGGTTATGTGATATGTAATAGACACTCTGCAGAAAATAAGGATTACTCCTCCTCATGCACTAGCACTGGATATCACAAAGCTGTTTGATTTGGTATGTAATCCAGACTGGCAGCCCATCTGTACATTGTTTGCTCTTATCCTGAATCACTTGTCTCAGTGTCCCAGTGCTGGTTCCCCAGTACCCATTTGATCACAAGAAACCCATGGCAATGCCTGGCTTCTTGCCATTACAGTTTATCATAAAATAATTATAAAAGTAATATTGCTGATGCTTACAAAGTGCCTGTGAAGACACATCAAGTGAGGTATTCTGCTCTCTCTGCTACCTACTCCTGTACATAGAGTGTACAGGGGCAGAACCCATAAACAGCTTGCCATGGTCTGTGATTAATAGAAATACAGAAAATGAAATAGAAATAGAAATAGAAATAGAAATAGAAATAAAAATTTCAGCTGCCAGCTCAGTTTCTCTTTTCCCCTTTTTTCTTTCCATAAGGCTCATTTGCTGTTTTCAATTGCCATGTTTATTTGTTGCTGAAGCCTTGGCAGAACTTTATCTGCTGGGTCAAGTTTGTGGTAACAGTCATGACCGCAGCAGTTCAGTGAATACTGAAATGCTGGCTTGGGTTGGAAACATCAAAACCAGGGAAGCAAAAACAGTATTTAAACCTGACAGAGGCTTACAACTATGAAACCTCTAAGGGGAAGCACTTAGTTCTGGACAGTGTGTAGGAAACTAGGAGAGATTTATTTAAGGATTTTTATTTCTGTCCACCATATTGATCAAACTCAAAGAAAACATGCTAAGAGATAATCAAAGGGAGGATGTAGTCTCCCAAAAACTTAATTGGCAAACAAATGTTTAGCTTGATCCTTGAAATATTCCAGCAATGACAATTCCACAGCACCCTTAAGTAACCTGCTTCAGTGCTTCATTACACTTGGTGTGAAGAAAGCCTTTCCTGATGCATTGCACTGCTTCTTGGTACTTTCCTCTTTGCTGTATTTCTGTCTGTTCTGGTGGAATATCTTGGTTCTTTCTTTCTGTAGCTCTTTTGAAGGTCTGAAGACCTTTTTTTGATGTCTTAAAACTTTGAGTCAATTTGGTTTGTTTCATATTAATCACTTGCTCATGATTCATTCCAAAATATGTTTCTATTTCCAAAAATTATTTCCCTGATGTACATTCATTATGAAACTATTTGGGTTGCATATTTTTAAAGCTGCTTATTGATATAAATATTCTCCTATGAACTGGAAGCAGCTGTCTGTGAACCACATTGATAAAATTAATACAGTAAAAATTGTCATGTAGGAATTGACCTTGGCTGTTACACAGTCCACACATGCTTACACATTCCCCTTGTGATTTTCCTGATATTAGTTATAAATTCAGAGCTGGGTTAATATTTTGGCAAAATATTCAGGGCTTCCCAACTTGGCTAACCAATGAGCATCAAAACCAGATGTTCATCCTGACATTTCAAAGAAGTAGCAAATACACTTACTGCACAATTAGCGAAAGCAACAGAATTCAGTATTTTTAACTGTAAAGCAGACAAAAAAAAATAGGAGATGACCTGTCTTCTTTTACCCAATGACAAGGTGAATTTTTCAGAATTTCCTCATTTTCTGAAAAGCAGAGCAAAACACTCCCTTTGGAAATACATGAGAAAAAAAAAAAGAGAAAACACTGGTTCTCCTCCCTGCAGGCAGGTTACAAAGCAAAACAGAAGATATGCATGGAAAACTTCTAAATATCCTACTTTCTGATAGTCATAGAAATACTTGGAATTTGCTTTGGCGAGGACAGAAGTCTAGTTTCAGATAGAAAGAGGAGTGCATCATGACCTTAGATGTCCAATTAATGGCTTTGATCTTCTGCCTTTAAGGAAAGGACCTAAATCACTGCCAAGTTAAACTGAAATAAGAGGACTTTCCACATCAACTCATCACAGAATGCACATGCTGCTGTCTGCTTGAGGCTGCTGGGTCAGCACAGGGAGGAAACATCCATTTTCCCCTCATCTTTCAGGCTTTAAAATGACTTTGTAGACAACACTTTTAAACAGTTGCTACTTAAATTTTTCACCACATAAGCCTGTGGATTGAGTATTCTTCTGGCTTCTTGTTATTGTCAGTCCTAATCCTGCCATATTGTTAAGGGCTCTGCTGTTATTAAGCACTGTGCCAATACCTCTCAAAAGCTACAACTCTCAGCTTTCCAAACACAGTGGTAAATTTGTAAGTAATGTTTTCAGTCATGCCAAAATGACTTGGGCTCTAAGCCAGAAACGACTTAGAGATGTATGTTTGTACTGGCAAAAACATTTAATCCTTCATTCAGCCTCACTGAGTGTCTGCCTGTGCTTCTACATGCCAAAGGGCAAGAGACAAGGAGATATATCCTTGCAAAGCTTTCAGTTCATCCTTCTTTTAGCATGCTGCTGAGCTGCTTTGCATACTTGGGCATAGTCAGGCAGCAAGAAGAGTGTCAGAAATGCACACACACATCCATCTCTCCCCGACAGGAACACTCAATTCTTTGTGAGATTTACTGTAAGAAGAGCAAATGTTTTGGGACAATGACTTCTGGCTTTTCCCTGCCTAGTTCCTGGTGCCCAAGTCATTTATTTGCAGAGCAGATCTCTCAAAGCTGACAGATCCTGATTGCACTAAGCTGATGAAATAAAAGCACTTTGCTGCCAACTAAGGAGATATTTCTCAGATAATCCAGTCTACTGGCAGGACAGTGTCTCTCAAGAATTGTTTCCCAAAGGCATTCCAGCTGATTTGGTGCAGGAATTTGCATGATTTCCAGGTGGCAGCTGAGACAGGGCAAATCAGCACCATGGGAGCCACAGTGTGGGTTAATATCCCCCCAGAGCTGGTGGCCCAGGGCTGACACAGAGAGCTTCAGCTGGGTGCAGGGGGGATGCTGAGAACAACAGCCAGAGAAACAGCTCAGCTTCACTGTGTTCAAACATCTCCTCCCATTCCATCCCACAGTGCCTGAAGTCCCCCCAGTATGCTCCTACACTAGGAAAGCAAGGGTCATGGAGATTGTTAGCAAAGGTGCAAGAAGTGGGCTTCTGTCTTATTTTCCAAGAGTAATTGGATCTGTTTTTCCTCCACAGCTGCACATACTTCAGTGCAAGTTTATCCATGAACATTCACTTAGGAGTAAGAATTTCCTGTCTTGACTTAATTAAAGTTACTTTAAAAAAATAAATCTCCTTAAATTAAGTCAAGAGTCTTATTTTTGTCCTCATGTAGATTTGTACCAGGGTTGCTGGAAGTGTAAATTAAACCAGATGTAGTCAGTTCAGTGCCTGTGTATGAGACAAGGAAATGCTCCTGTGAGCTGATCATCCGAGGATTTTGCAATACATTTCTCCTCAGCAGTCACAAGCAGCAAAACACTTCAAGGCCTAAGCCACAGTAGCATGGTTGAATGACAGAGTCCATAAACAGCTTGCCTGGCCTGTGATTAATAGAAATATAGAAAATGAAATAGAAATAGAATGGCTAGTTTAACTTCAGGCACAAATCCCACCACAGGACTTGACCCAAATCCACAGGAGTTTTTCCTGGAATCAAGGAGAATTCACAGTTTGGGCACCAGTCATGGCAATGCCTGGCTTCTTGCTGTTACAATTAATCAGAAAATAATTACAAAAGTAATACTTTTACTTGATTATGCTTTGTAAGCATCACTTGGTGATGCTTACAAAGTACCTGTAAAGCCACGTCAAGTAGGGTATTCTGCTCTCTCTGCTACCTACTCCTTTACATAGAGAGCTGTTACTTCTCAGCCCATTGGCTGCTCATCCTTTTACATGGACAAAAGACGTTCCAACTCTTAGTCTAAAGACAGCAAAAATTCTGGAGAATTTTTGGAGAGAGAAATTTTTGGAGAAAAAAACTAGGAGCAGATTAGTAAATTAGTATTTGCTGGTCTCCAAAGGAATGAGGGAGAAGGTTGAAGGGCCAGCTTCTCAGGCCAGAATTAAAAATAGGAAAACTTTAACCCCCAGGAAAATATACCTAACTTGTTGTTATGCTTAATATGGAGGTTTCTTTGGCTGATATCTTCAACAGCAGAGTTATAATACTTAGAGAAAAATATATGCCATCTTTCAAGTGTTCTATGATTTAGCAAAGTCCCAGGACCTAGAAGCAGAGAACTGTCCATTCCCATTTACCTTCATGTATCATTCTGACTCCTTTGCTGTTTGTTAAATTTTGAATTAAGCTCAAATGACCTGACTTGCTTGAGGCTAAAGTCACCTTGGCAGTTATATTAAGGCTCTCAAAACTAAACAAAATTGTCCATGTTCCAAAGGGAATGAACAGGAGGCTGAATTAGATAATGATTACAGACTATCTTAAAGTGATTAAACATTAAGAAATCATCAATGGCAAATTTTCTGTGCTTTCTTTTAGCTGTTTGAGGAAAAGCTATCCTAGTCTTCTTAGAGAAGAAACTGGTTGTCTGTTGTTTGGCAGCGCTCTGCAGAGAGTCCTAGTTGAACATCATGTATTTATTTTCATTTTAAAACCTGTCTTTGGGGAAGGTGGGATTAGATGGTAGTTTCTTCTCTGATTACCTTCATGTCCTTTTTCTTCTATAACCAATCTCCTTCTGGTTCTCTTCTCACAATTCCTGGCTCTCCCTTATGATTCATGCTTTCTCTCAAAGTCAAAAGGATTTTCCTTTTGCAATTTTCCTACCATTCTCCAGTTAGCTAAATTGTATAGTGACTTCTTGGGATTAAATTAGTCACCAAATTTACAAGCTGGAAGGCCTAAGGTGCTTTTTCATTGTAAAATGGCAATTTTCAGGCAGCTGAAAAGGAGTTCTCAGTGCCACACAAAGATCTGAAATTCTGAAAACAGGAATGGTTCTCTGCTTCAGACATCTCCATGACCCTGCCCTCCTAACTCACCTGGAAAGGTGCCATTTGTTGCTCACTTGCACAGGTTGCTGACTGTGGCACCTCAAACATTGCCACTATCACATCTTTGAATGCAAAGTCAGAGCTGAGAGGGAGATAAGTAATCAGAAGCATGCATTAACGTAAAATTATTTATCCAACTCGGCTTCACTTCATTTCCTGCGTTGAGATCTTAGGAGGAAGCTGTGATTCCCATTCTCCTCTGCCCACAGAGAAAGAAAACAGCAGTGTTCTGACAAGGCAGGCAGCTCCACTGCCTGCAGGAACTGCTTCCTTGCAGGTTTTTCTAAATGTCTGCCAGACTACAGCACTGGAGATATCACAGGTGGGGGCCTTCCTTTTGGGCATTAGTTTATTCTAAATTACGTTCCAAAATGCACACCAAAAAAGAGCTGTGAAAGCGTAAGGCTTCCCTGGATTTTCTTGCTGTGGAGGAGAATCATTCCATTTCCAGCCTCCTCACTGATGCCCTTCCTGAGCACTGTTGCCTTCTTCCCCCTTTTTTCTCTTGCTGTTTTCAAGTGTCTGGTCAAATCTGCAAGGCTGTCAAATGCTTTCTGAGAGTCCATATGAGCTGCAGGAACCCTTGGGAGGAGAGGGTGGAAAGGGTATGGAACAGGATGGAGTAGGATCTATTGTCTCTGTTTCTGGCACTGGAAAAGGAGTGGCAACAGGGAAGTTTCCTTACTTGGAGATTCCAGAAACACACACATATATAGAGAGAGACTTCACATTTATTCTGGAAATGGAAGCAGTCAGAACACATGGAAAGAAAGAGCATGAGGTGGACAATGTTTTAGATCTTTGTATTTCCTTCAAGCACTTCAAATATGTTATCATTAAGGGTGCAGTAGAAGTTTCCAATTCTGATACTAATTTTTGAACTTTCAAATTAATGTTTCAACATCTATATGACACAGGTTATAGTTTATTATACAACCATTAGTTGTGAATTTCAAGTAGATATTATTCACACTTTTATCACATATACATGAAGACATATAATTTTTTGTTTTGTTTTTTTCTTAAGGGCCTGAGTTTCTTTATTTGTAAAGAATACTTGTGAATTTCAGTTTTTGGAACAGAACAATTTTCTAGTACTTATACCGAATTCTTGAAAGTCAAAACAAAGACATGAATATCAGAAAGCTAAATTCTGAGTAATGACTTTTAATATTGTTTCTGGTGATGCTGGGACTGGAAATGGGCAGGTTTCAAATCAGGTCTTTAAATCAACATCTATCCCAAGAGTCTGTGGGTGGTCCAGTATTACTGAGATTGGAAAAGACCCCTAAAATCATGAGTTCAACCATGAACCCAGCACTGCCATGCTCACACTAACAGTGTCCCCAGGTGCCACATCTCTATGCCTTTGTGCTCCTCCAGGAATAGTGATTCCATCACTTCCACGGGTAGCCTGTTCCGGCTCCCGACCACGCTTTCAGTGAAGACATTTTTCCTTATATCCAGTCTGAGTCTCCCCTGAGGCTGAGGACCATTTCCTCTCATCCTATTGCTCGTTACCCGGGAGAAGAGGCCGATCCGCAGGTGCTGCACCCTCCCTCCAGGCAGCTCTGCAGAGCCATAAATCGGGTCCCGCCCGAGCCTCCTTTTCTCCAGGCTAAACCCCCCATCTCCATCAGCTGCTCCTCACCAGATCTGTGCTCCAAACCCTTCCCAGGACATGAAAACACCAGATTATCCCGTATATAATTATCCTGTATATAGAGCCCTCTAACACCGAGTTTGTCCACTCAAAGAGGGAGGGCTCTTTCCAACACCCCCCGAATCCGCTCTCGCTTTCCCGGCGCAATCCGGGCGCAATCCCGGCGCATTCCCGGCGCAATCCGGGCGCAATCCGGGCTCATTCCCGGCGCAATCCCGGCTCATTCCCGGCTCATTCCCGGCGCTCCCGCGGGCAGGCGTTGCGCCGCAGTACCGGCGGCGGGCGGCAGGGGGCGCGCGCAGGCCGCGTTCCCGGCCCGGCGTTCCTGTGCCCGGCATTCCCAGCCCGGCATTCCCGTGCCCGGCGTTCCCAGCCCGGCGTTCCCAGCCCGGCGTTCCCGTGCCCGGCGTTCCCAGCCCGGCGTTCCCGTGCCCGGCGTTCCCGTGCCCGGCATTGCCAGCCCGGCGTTCCCAGCCCGGCATTCCGTGCCCGGCGTTCCCAGCCCGGCATTCCCGTGCCCGGCATTCCCAGCTCCCCTCCCGGCGGAGGCGGCGGCTGGGAGGGACCGGGGGAGGTGCTCGTGTCCGGGATCAGTGTCGCTGCTGGTGGGGTTGGGAGCACGTTTTGCTGCCGCTCAGGAGACCTGCCAGCTTTACGCTGGGCTCGATGGCCTTAGAGGTCTCTCCCAGGAGGCGCGATTCCGCAGCGCTGAAAGCTGGAGCGGCCCTTTCAAGGGCTGTATCACAGGCACCTGCGATACCGAGCGTGGGTTCGGGGGGAAACTGGGCTCTGGGGAAGCAGCCGTGGCTGGTTAAAAGGTCAGCGATTTTTTGCTTACCAAGGGTGGTATAAAACCTTGAGCAGGTCCTGCTGTGAAGCTCTTGCTCAGGAAGAGTGTAAAGGGCTTGGTTAATGTAAAACACATATTTATAGTGATTTCTTTTAAGTGCTATAATTTAATAGGTAAGAGCCTGGTTAGTGATGACATGAGGGAAGGGATGATAGCACACAAATATTAGGAAGAATACTGTAATAGCTGTGGGGGAGTTATAAGAACCCTGAGTTCCTATAGCATTAAGTTTTATTTTAGGGAAAGGGTTTGGTTTGTTGGCTTGTGGGGGTTTCTTTGTTGTTGTTTTTTCTTTTTTCTTCTCTCTTTTTTTTTTTTTTACAGACTACGGAATTGAAAATGGAAAATCTAAGATTAAATCTAAAGCTTCTAGCTTACAAGTGCGAGGTAAAAATGTGTCAGTCTTCAAAGTAATACTATTCCACATGGCAACCAGCAGTATTTTCCATTCCTGTTTTTCTTTTCAAATGTTTTTTTTTTCTGGTGCTGCTGAACTTCTTGCCCTCTTGAATGCTTTGCTTTCTGATACTAGAAGCACTGCAAGCTCATCCTTCTTGAAAGGGGCTATTTATTCAGTAAAGCTTTTGTCAGACCACTTATGTAACTTCAAAACCAATTCCCAGTGCTTTCCTTTCTCTCTCTCTTTGTGAGAAGCATATGGATTCTTGGACTGAATGGATATTATATCAATACTATACACTGTGCTTCCCTATCAACATCAATTGCTGCAGTTGGGTTACAGACGCTGTACAGGTGCAGGAAGGAAATGGTCTTGACAAATAAGATACATGGGATTTTTCAGGACAGTCTTTACAAAGAGCTGCCTCGTGAAATCCCCATTAGACAGCAGCACGACAAATAGGCAGGCAGGCTACATGAAATACCACGGCAGCAAATGTGAATGTCTCCCTTTTTTACTGAATTCTTGCCTGCTGCAATCATCACCATGCTTAAGTGAAGATCAGCAAAATGTATTGCATTATTGAGCACAGGAAAGCTGATGGCTCGTAGAGAAAAGCAGCTTCACTCCAAGACACAGATGGGAAGCACATACTGTCCTGAATTTGTCTGCCTTTCCTTTAGGGAATGACAAGTATTCAGCATTATACCTCCCCCGGGCATCGGTGTTGAACCATGAGTGTTAGACACAGGTAACATTTCAAAGCAGTCATACCACTGGCACAGTTACAAACACACTTGATTAAACCATCCCACGCTATGAAAAGAGGTTTAGAACAATAGATTCAGGGTCAGCTTTTCTTCTTGGCATAAACCTGCTCAGAAGGCTTCAAACAGGTCAATTTATGGGCCTCTGAGAGAGCTGAAGTGGTGAAATGGACTATGTTGTTGAATGATTAATTTATTGTTAAATTGTTTTTGCTCTTCCCTCTTTGTTTGTCCTAGTACTAAGCAGTGGGGTTTGCATTATTCATACAATCTAGTGGGGAGACTTTGCAATACAGAAGTACTGACATTATTTCAACATGCAGTAATGTGTTGAGATTATTCCATGCTCTTCCCAGTAGGGATGATGGCACCCAGTTCCATCAAATAAGCCATACATGGCCCATTGCTAGTAAAAATACTCTTTTTCCATTAATAGAACCTGACAGGAGGAAAAACAAAACTCAGCCCACAATCTGCTGTCTTGAGGTTGCCATTGACAAAACATTTTACTCAAATATTTTCAGGCATTTGATGAGGATCCAGTGTCGGATGGATTGAAAAAGGAAATGACAGAAAGATTGTGAAGATTTTTGGGACAGACCTGAAAAGTGAAAATGTCTTTTCCAGATCTTTCCAACATTCCTCAAACTGGCCAAAAAAGGGAAGGCATTTTGGATCTAAAGGCTATTTTAGTAGAGAATCCAGAAAGTGCTACTGGGGAAAAAAAAACTTACCTTTGAAAACATCTTGGCTATCAAAGGAAAGAATTAGACTGCCGCTGGACTATTAAATTATTTGAAATATGAAGGACACTATTGACAGGGGTATTGGAGATGATGGATTATACCTATTTGCTACACAGTGGCAAAATAGATGCATAGTAGTACAGTTTCTAATGTGCCTCTTTTGTATTTCTAGTGATTTATTGGCAGAATGCCTATAAAAATAATGGAAAATCAAACAAAGCAACCAGTTAGTTAAAAAAATGATAGCATTAATACTCTTAATCTGTTCAAAAGCCATATTTTTATTTTAAATAATATTAGTCACTTTTTAAATAGGGTATTGTATGTTGTGTCTGAGGTCAGGGCAGGTACATGGTGTTTGCATAACTCACAGGGTACAAAGATCTCTCTGCTATTTCTGGATGCTCAGAGCACCACTGTGTATTTATAATGTACATTTTCTTCTTGAAATTCATGTGTATCTCTGATTATAATTCCTACAAATTACTTGAATGTCTGCACAGTTTAAAGTCATGTGTCAGAGTCAAGTCTTTTTAACAAAGTGATTTGCAGAAAATGAAAATATACTGAGCCCTTTTATCTTAAATCTTGCACTCCTAGCAGAAGAAATGGACCTGAATAGAAGAATACTAACTGTTCATATGAAAAACTGGAAGATGTAAAAGAGGAAAAAATACATGCACTGCTAAGAACTGCAATCTAAAGCTTTTTTTGGATGCTTTAATTCTGAGAACTAAGAGAATGTGTGTTCTGCTTATGAGGTATCTGATGGAGAAGCAACAGCCTGAAAATATATGAAAATTTACAGGGTACATAAAACAACTTTTGAAAAGTACCCTTTCAAAGTTTTATAATGAAGGATACAAAATTACTTATCAAGTGCTTAATCACAATCTTCTACATTTCTTGGCTGCTTTCTAATATGAGTATCACCATACAGACTGTTTTAGTTGGCCTCTTCCGTTGATGGCCTAAATTATTTACGATCCATCCTTCTGAGAAAACAGGCTCCAGGAACACTCGTTACAATCTCTAGGACATGCCTGCTCTAAAGAAGGCTTTGGGTTTGTTTGGGGTTTTTTTCAGGCATTGGTTTTGTTTTGGTTTTTTTTTGTTTCTTTTTTTTTGTTTGTTTGTTTTGGGGGGGGGCTGTTTGTGGTATTTTTTTGTTTTGGTTTTTGTTTTTTTGATTGGTTGGTTTGGTTTTATAGTTGTTTTTCTTTTGGTTGGTTAGTTTGATTTTTGGTTGTGGTGTTTTGGTTGTTTTTTGCTTTGGTTTTTTTTTGTGGGGGGAGGAGGAGATTGGGACAATTTTTTTGCCTTCTTATCCTTTGGATGAAACTACTGACAAAAGCCACCCATAGTTTGTGAGGTGGGTGTTGCACATTCCATTTGGACCAGTTCAAATACTAGACCCATACTAACTCTTGCTGAATACTGTTTTTCCTTTGGCACCAGGGAAGATGAGAGTAAAGAGATTGAATAAATTTATCAACTTTGGTAACAGATGGTAGATCAGTGATAGCTGAGAAAGCATGAATTGAGCAGGATATGTATTTTTTGAGAAATAAGTGCAACATGCTTACACATGTTCAGAAGCAACTCTATTGCCTTCTATGTCTCTTCAGCCATCCTTTGGTAAGTTTGTTTTACATTCCAGAGTTCAAGAGACTTGAACTCAGTCTACCAGCTTAAAGTTTAAGTAGTCCCTACTCTGTGCCTGCCTTTCCTGCCTGAAAAGCCTCCTTGTTTGCTCCAGACCTCCCTGGCAATATCTGTGCAGGGGGAACCAGCAGGCAGCCTGGGCTCAGGTGGGGAGGGGGATGCACTCCCTCCAGCTGGAGGGATTTCTGCTCTGCTCTCACTCCTGGTTTATGCTGCAGTGCCTTTGGTTTCTGTCCTCTTCTTCCTTTCCCGTTGGGCAGGAACTGTGAGGAACAGAGGGAGTAGGCAGATTTCTTTAACTGAAGCATTGTTTTGTACTGACAATAGCAGCATAATAACACCTGAGAGGAAAGGATTTTGAGTAGCAGAGTTTTATATCACATATGTGTGCACCTGCCATCCTGACCTCAAGCAGACTTCAATTCCCTAAAGACTGTGTGCTGTTGCCCTGCTCCAAATCACCTCTCTCTGCCTGCCTGGCTTTTGACAGTCTCTCACCTGCTTACAGCATGTCCTTGTAATTCGCTGTGCTCATCAGTTTGCTGGGCTTTCTGCTGTGCTCACAAGAAAACCTATTTCACTGAGTTCAGCAGGGGCTTAAGGGTAAAACACTCAAGTGAATACCCTTCCTGTGAGTAGTCCTGTGGATTTGCTGTCTTCAGCCACTATGATATGTCCTATTTATTCTTCCAGGGTGCTGTTACACTAAACCAACACAGTTACAAAGAAATGCACCAGCAGCGGGCCCACAGCCATACCCTACCCAGAAAACAGCAGGGAGCAGCTGTGACCCAAGAAAAGCTGGTTATGCTAACCTGAAGCTACTGGATCATTCTTTTGTCATTCTTTAACCTGAGAAATGAACTAACTGAACAACAACTCCTTTAGGCTGAATTTTGTGGTTCTCATAATTAAGACTGTTATTTTTAATAGGAATTTTGACTTAGGAGCCCAATCCCACATCTTTACTTTATTAGAGAGAGAGTGAAATTGAATGTTGAAATAGAAGCAGACAGGTAAGTGTAGTGTTGGATTTTCTCCTCTAGACTCTGCTTTCTTGACTAATATGTTTGTATTTGGTTATTGAAATATAACATATGTGTAAACACATATAGAAATAAGCCATTATTCTGTACTATTTGAGTACATACATTGTTTTGTCTTCTTTTTATCTTTTTTTAGTATTAGAGATGCTCAAAATTATACAGTCAGAAAAACGAATCTGTTTTATGTGTGTAACACAGAAGAGCCAAAGGCTATATCAGTTTTTCCATTTGCACATACAAGTGTTTGCAGAACATAGCCATAACATTTTCTTTGATTACTGTAATATATTTTGCATGCACACTGCTTGATATCAGCAGCAGAATACACTGCCTTTGTAACC